TCTGCTCATGTGGCTGCCAGACCCGCAATCTAACTCACTTCATCTGATCTCAAATCCGATCTAGCAATGCCCGCTTGCTGCAGTCTTCATCCACTCTGGGGCGTCCTCTTTCCGCAATTCATACGCCCCCACAACTACTACGCTTCATCTCTATCTTCGTCGTCCACTACCCTCGCCTTTCTCTTTTCTCCTTTACTATCTCCCCTGTGTTGTCTTCTCTTCTTCTTTGGCTCTCTGTGTGTCTGCCGCTCGCGCGCTCTCACACACACACACACACACACACACATATATATAATATATATCATTCTATATTTTATATACATACATAATATGTAGTATAATATCTCTCACACACACACGCACAGAGAGAGAAAGAGAGAGAGAGAGAGAGAGAAAGAGAGACAGAGAGAGAGAGGGAAAGAGAGAGGGAGAGAGAGAGAAAGAGAAAGAGAGAGAGCGTGTGTATGTGTGTGTGTATGTGTGTGTGTGTGTGTGTGTGTGTGTGTGTGTGTGTGTGAGGGAGAGAGAAAGAGAGAGAAAGAACGAGAGAGAGAGAGAGAGAGAGAGAGAGAGAGAGAGAGAGAGAGAGTGAGAGAGAGAGGAAGAAAGAGAGAGAGAGGCTGTAATTTAGTCCACCATTCACTGACCACAGCTCTCAATGACCGGCGGACCTGACGTAGTGACGTGTCAAGCTGTCAAGGCGGCAGATCCTGGCCTCACGTCTGCTGTCACATCTCTCACTTCCGGCGGATCGCGCGGGAATTATTCTCACCTCACTTCCGGCAGGAGGTGGTAAGTGAATGAAGCATGCCATGCCTAATTTGAGCTGTTGATTTAGAGCGGGGTCTGTTTCTTGTGCGCTTAGCTACTACTACTCCCCCCCCCCTCCCCTTTCCCCTCACCCCCTCCCTTTTTTCGCCTCTCCCCTCTCTCGTATCACATAAAGTGGACACTGGTGAATGTGTCCAAGAAAAGGAATAACAGCGTAACTTATGTAACCTATGTAACCTATGTAACTTATGTAACTTATGTAACTTATGTAACTTATGTAACCTATGTAACCTATGCAACCTATGTAACCTATGTAACTTATGTAACCTATGTAACTTATGTAACTTATGTAACTTATGTAACCTATGTAACTTATGTAACTTATGTAACTTATGTAACTTATGTAACTTATGTAACTTATGTAACTCCCCCCTCTCCCTTTTCTGCCCCACCCGCCTTCTCTCCCCTCTCCTTTATCCCATGCATTGGACTCTGGTCAATATGTTGTCTAAGAAAATATAAGAAGAGCGGGTTATTTGACTAGTCGTCAAGCTGCTCTCTTTTTGGCTTAAGTCAGACTTACACCAAAATGCAACTGATGAACCACTGGACTCCTTGCCATCTGCTGAATATAGTGTTGTAAAATAAAAAATATATCATTTCAAATAAAATAAACTCCAAACATTTGACATTAGTCAAAAATAGCATTGATTTCCCCGTGTAATTTGACCTAAGTTTGACATAGGCCAATTCGCCTTTTAGCCTAAGTCAGACTTAGGCCAACACCTGGGCAAGTTTGATACCCTCAGTCTTGGATCTAACTGTCCACTTCAGTCAAATTCTTTTCAAAATAGCTTAAGTCATTCAGAATTGAAAAACTTAAAAAGAAAAAAAAAATGTCTCAACTCATTTTGCAAAACGGCCTAAATCAGAGACAACAGTCACGAAAAGGCTCAAGCCGTTTTGCAAAACGGCCTAAGTCAGAGGCCACAGTCATGAATTGGCCTATGTCAGTCACATCCCATAATTTCGATTTTTATTGGAATATTACTAATGAGGAACGGTAAGTTAATTGGCTCTGGAAATTTGGACTATTCAAAAGTTGCTTTTTCACTTACTGAGAGAG